AAAAAAAAAGTGTAAAACTGTACAAACCAGGACTCGAAGGGGAAGGGGCCGTGCTGAAATACTGAAATCGCTGAGAGGAGGGGGAGGAAATGTCAAGTCTTCTGTAGATTCTGGGTCACTGGCATTCATAAAAAACTATGCATTTTTTCTTTTCAAGAGCACCATAATTCGTAAACAATCTAGAGTTAAATATGTGAAGAGTTCCGTACAGGTAGCTTAAACTTTATTCAGACCGTCTGCAGGTTTTGCCCCGGAACAAGACCTTCCCGTCTTCCCCTCCTCCTCGTCCAGGGAGTCAGCGTGCAGTCTGCGCAGGAGATTCTTCTGCTGTCGACCGGACGTTAATTCAGCGTTCCTCTGCAGTTCTCTGCCCCACACAAACAGGGGATCTTCTCGTCCTCGATGGGGAACTTGTAGTCGTACGTGATCTCCTCGTTGACGTTTATCGGCTGCCTGGAGTAGATGACGATCTTCTTCTGAGACTCCACAGTGATGACCTTCGCATAACAGTTGGGCTGAAAGAAAACAGACAAATAAACATGAATACCTTATGGTTGTCGTTCTGTTTGGAGTGATACAAATATACAGATACTCCCCTTACGTAATAGAATAATATAAAAATACTCTTAATACGTAATACAAGTGAGCATCATGAATTCAAAAATGTACAGAAACATTTGAAAGTGCCAAAAGGTAAAAGTTATCATTATGCAGACTGGTCACTTTTAGAATTGTTTTTTATTTTTAAAGATGCATGAATGTGTGAGCAGCATTTTGTTGCAGTTGTTCAAGATGATATTTTTTAATGATATTCTGCAAAAACCTCCAATCGAACCGAAAAAGATGTTTATTTAAATGTCCTAAAAACTTAGAGTGATGATATTCTAATATTTCTATTATCTATTTCTTCATTCTTTCTTTCAAACGATGGCAGTTACCTTGAAACACTTTTACTTTAATAAGAAAAGAAAAGAAATTCACAACTGAACTGATTCTTCAGGTGGAAAAAGTTGTTATCCGTTGACTTACATTGCAGCTGTGGTTGATGAAACGGGCGAAGTTGCCACACTTGGTGGCGTCTATGATGGTATCGTGGTCGACACGGAACATGTAGCTGCTGCCGATGCCCTCTTCCTCGTAGCGCTTCTCCCGCATGTCCGCGATCACCTGGAAATGAGGATCGATACTTGTGAGGGGTTTGTCAACTTTAATCATGAAACCAATTGTTTTATCTGGGAAATGTTCTTATTATTATCAATTGTCTCAATGACTTTAACGAAATGAACTGAAGCTCAAATTGGGTTTTCTTGCTACTTGTCCACATTTCAACAGCTCAAAGATTTCAAGGGTCAGTTGTGTAACTGTTACAGCTCCAGTATTCACTTCTTTAAAAAGCCCTGGTTGACCTGATAAAGCAAACGTGCACTACATCTATATAGGAAGTTAGAAAGACCCTTTCAGAGTCCGTTTCCCGACACACACACAAAAACACTTCAAACTGGAGCTGCCTCTCACCTGTCTGATGTTTTGTCCGACGTACTCGATCACCATTTCATCAGCAGCGATGGGCTCCATGGCAAACAGACCCCAGTCGTGGATGTGCGACTTACAGAATCTGATCTTCTTCTTACGGAACTGAACGAGAAAAATGGGAGAAAAAGTTGAAGTTATTGTTTAAGTTTTTGAATCAAATCCAACCATTACAACCCAGGATGAGCAGCTGTCTGAGTTTGTTGTGCTCGTCCGTCTTATCTTCTTCTCGAGTGTTTTTAGAATAAAATCCAGTGAATCAAAGAGCAGAGTTCTGTTAGATTTGTTGTTACCTTCAGCTGGTTGAACTTCAGCAGGTCACTGTCACATGCGAAAGAGGACAGCAAGCGTCGCTGCTCTGACCGCCGCTCCGAGCCAGCTCTGGTAGAGGCGTGGACCTGTGCAGGAATACTCATACCCTGAACAGAGAACATAGAGTTTGAGGTTAATGCGTCGCACATACACGTGGTCATTTAACTCAGGCATCGCAATCCGTCATCTCCCGCCCACCTGAGTGTCGACCGGCGGCTCCTCATACTGCAGCTTCGTGCTCTGAAGATATTTGATTTTGTCCTTCTTGTCGATCTTGTAGTAACCTTCGCTTCGGGCGCAGCCGGTCATGTGATCCCTCATGCCGTCGTCTCGCCTCTTTTTCTTCACTCCAGGGATGTTGGTAGGTGCCGGGGAGTCAAGGGAGAAACTGAGAAAATCCTTGAACCAAAAACTCTTCTAACACTCAACAGATACTGGGGTAGTTAATCCCAGTTCCTCTGTTTCACCACCAGAGGGGGCTGCTATTTGACACACAGGGTACACAACTAGACAATTATGATCATTTTAAACAGAGTTTAACTGAAGTGAACTCCTAGAATGATTTACCTCTTAATGGGAAACTTTAGTTTAGTGTCACAAACAAATAAGCATAATTAACATTAGACTTTGAGCAGAAAAGGATATAAGGATGGCCGACCCAGAGTGTGTCGTTGAGCCAGTCGTTGCCATTATCCTGCTGGAGCATCTTGTCATAGGTGATCTGCAGGAGCCGAATGTCCTCCTCATCTATTCCCTCGTTCCAGATGTCGTACAGGATGGTCATCTCCTCGAAGTCAGAGCGTCGCTTGAAGTACGGCCGAGGCGGCGTGGTGACCGGGGACAGGCTGTTCAGCAGCAGCTCTTCCCAGCCTCGCCGCGCCCTCCGAGCCGGCTTCACGACCACAGGCGCCTCGTCCTCGTAGGAGAGGAAGCCATCTTCTGCGGGCAGAACCGTCTGAGGCTTGACGTCTCCTTCCCGGAAGTCCAGACTCGGGTGGTCAGGAGACTTGGCCGACGTGATTTGCGTGGATAGATCTATGAGGTGTGCTCCATGAAGCAATGTAGTGGACTCGGATGAGAGCTCCAAAGACTCGTCGTCCGCAGCAGATGGTATCTTTTTGCCTTTGGGTCGTCCAGGTTTCCTCTTCGATGAAGCAGTGTCTGATGGCACAGGGACGTCTACAGTGAGACCAGCAGGCAGATCTTCAGGGACACTAGCTGAGAGCTCTGTGTCAGTGGACAGGGTTTGATTAGGCAGTGCACAAATGGGCGGCTCCTTAAAAACTGGTCTATCATCCAGGCTCTCAGAGGATACTTTCCTATTAAGAGTTAGTGCTGTGGGGTCAGGGAAGACAGGGGTGAAGGTTAAGTCTCTTCCTGGGGTGCGGGGGACTCCAGCACTGAGGACAGGGGATTGAGCGGGGTAGGAAAAGGGGCTACCAGGGATGTGAGGCGAGCTAAGCAAAAGGCTACTCCCCGTAAGCGGGGCGTCACTACCGGGTGTGTTGGGCACTGTGTCCGTGCTCTGGGACTTGCCCAGACTGCGGGCACGCTCCATCAGATCCCTCCCCGGTGTACGGGGGATGTCTTCATCTGTGGGGAGCCTGGCCCGCTGTGGGAGGTCAGGAAGGGGACCGGGGGGTGGATGAAGGAGGGAACGACCTTCTATCGCAGGGTGAGGAGGGAGAGGGAGGTGCATTGAAGATGCGGAGACGGGTTTGGGGACAGGTGCGTTTGGATCTAAATGGGGTGGGGGTAATCGACCGGGGGTACAGGCTACTTCCCCAGCCTCTGTTTTACCTTTGGCTTTCGACTCCCGGTCACTGTCTGGCGCCGTGCCTGTGGGCGTGGGTGGCCGAAGGTTCGCTACGTGCTCCTGAGGTTCAGACTTCACTACGGGGATGGTGCCGTCTCGCTCTTTGACTACAAGAAAAGAAAAGATATTTGTTTTGTTTAACCTAAAATCAATAATTATTTAATTAATAATAATATTTAATAACTTCGTAGGAATGTTTCACATGATCTCTACAGACGCAGTTAAAGATGCTCACCTGGGCCTTTAGGTGAAGGCGGCTTCAGGTCCACTGCCTCCTCCACAGGACTTGGGGGTCTGCGTTTGTTCTTGCTGCTAAGCACCTCTTTGCTTCGTTTATCCTCCTTGTCTTCTAGGACAGGTCCTGCAGGTGGGCTCGGGGGCTTGGCCTCCGCCTCCTCTTCATCAGAAGATGAGGACGATGATGACGAAGAGGTGGACGACGTCACAGCCTCTTTGCCTTCATCCTCTTCTGCTACTGTCTCCACTTCTTCCCTCTCCTCATCGTCCTCCTCTTCTGAGCTTAACTCGTTCTCGGAAGAGTCTTCGCTCTCTGCTGAGGAGTCTGAGCCGACCTTGGAGGAGGCTGAACTCTCGGCTTCTGCAGGAAACAGGGGCAAAGAAATATTGAGTTACAGCGAATATACTTCATAAATGAACTTACTCCTGTTGTCAGATATTTAAAGTACCATCATCAGATGAATCGGAGGAGGCACTCTCGCTGGATGAGTCTTCATCGTCACCCTCCTCATCACCACTCTCCTAAGAGATGATCAGATATATTATTACAAGAAGGCACCAACAATCAGCACATAGAATTATCATCATTTTCAAGAAAGCATACTTTTCCTGACAACAGCATGTCTGTAGCTCCAGTTTCATCAGGTTCATCCGCTCTGTCCGACAACGACGACTCCTCCTTCCCTGACGTGTCCACCTCCTCCTCTCCCTCGCTGTCCAGTTCCAGTGGCCGCGAGTGCCGTCGCTTTGCAGACATGCTGTCGCTGTCCATTTTTGAATCGTCCAAGGGGAGCTCGGCTGGGTCTCGATCCCGGTCTGACAGAAATAATCAAATATTAGTTTAAGTGGAGAAAATTCAACACTGCATGTATTTGCTTTTGTTTTGCTTTATTGACAAAGGAGGGGTACCTTCATCCTCCAGCTCGTCATCGACTGGAGTGGAGGGTCGGGCTCGTTTACTGTCGCCTGCTGTCGCGGCCTCTGGTGGGTCCTTCCTTTTCACCTGAGCACATCATGCAACCAATAAACACCAATGGAGTGCAACACATTGAGAGTAGAGACACTCCCTCTTTATCCAAGTTTTCAAAAATACGAGTTTAAGAGCGTACCTTGAAGGAGGGTAGACGGATGGCTCCACGCAAACTGATTCCCAGGCCCATTCCCTCATAGCCCAGTCCCTCGCCCTTGTTCCAGTTCTCCAGCAGACTCGAACCAATCGTCTCTTTGGGTTTGGGTCTTTCTTCTTCTTTCCCCTCTGCGCCCTTCACTGGAGTCAAAGATGCCTGAGAAGAAAAAATGTGTAGCTTTAAAAAAAAATAAAAAAATTCAGTCTCTCACATTTTAAGAAACATTAGCTGCTTCACAATTAAATGTAATTCATTTAATTTGTTTTGATTGACATTTAATTGATGTTAATACAAACTTCGGCACAAATGTTTTTCCCACAATTCTGTGCGTGTGTAGATGTGAGCTCACAGTGTCTCTGTTGGTAACGCACTGTTTTTATCTCGAGTGGTGAAATGTAAGACTCACCTTTGCTGAGCGTTCCTTCTTATCCCACCAGTCATCAAAGGCTCTAAAAGCCACCACCTCGACCATTTTACGGTTGAGGTCCCTCTTCATGATGGCCTTCAGCTCTTTGACGATAACCAGTAGCACGCCATCGACAGTGGCCTTGTGCGGATCCTCCTTTTTACCCTCGTATCCAGGTGGAGGAACAGTGGGGTTGAACTTTGGTACGCTGGATTGCTGCCACTGTTGTCCAGGTGCCCCTGCACTGCCACTCGTGGGCGCAGTACCGAGAGACAGAGGTGCGTAAGGTCCACCAAACTGGGCCGACGCACCACTGTCCATAAAGTGTGGATAGGGATAGGGCCCTCTAGTCTGAGCGATCCGACTCAACATCTGCTGCTGCATCTGGAACGACATGGGCACCGTGCTCCACTGCTCCCACCGCAAGCAATTCATTAGCTCCATTTGCACCAGTGGCATCATGCTCGGAGGGTAGGGACCCATGTGTGGAAGCATGTGGTGAGGCACTCCGGGATGACCGGCCAGGTGAGCAGGATGCCCCTGGACGGCAGCGTGAAGGGACAGTTGGTGATGCGGGATCGTGAAGGCGGCCTGGTGTGGCAGAGGGGGGAAGCCGGGGGGAGGGATGGTAATGGTCTGCATCGGGGACACTGCGGAGTTGACAACGATGCCCTTGCCACATTCGCCACTGGTAATTGGAGTCCCAGGCATCTCATCCTCAGAGATTTCCATGTCTTCGCCTGACGACTGATGACTCTGTGTGAAAAAGGAGGACAGCCTGTCAGGACTACGCTAAGTGAACATCATTTTTCACAGGTTACACAAGTACAATATGTATTTTTCCATCTCTCTGACAACGATGCAAACACCATCTACTTCTGGGTCATTCCAGGTCAAATCATCCCACTTTTGGGCAGAACTGTCAGAGATCTCAGCAAAAACCAAACTTTCTAGAGTCCTTGATGACATTATAAGCTAAAGATTACTTTTATAGTCACTTATTGTACTGTTATATTTCTCTATGACTTAGATTGAGGGAGACCTGGCTAGTCAAAGTCCCAACTGCTTTGGTTCATATGTCCCTCATTTAGGACATTGCAGTTCTATAGGTTTCTCATACCTACCTGAGTTTTAGTTGCAAAGTCTTAGAAATGTTTTTTAGGGAACATGAACAGTTCTTGAAATACTGTTTGTACACAAGCAGCCATGGAAGAACTTTGCATGAAGAAAATCAAGTCAAAATAGGTGAATAACTGTTTGGAATTTGACTGAGCAAAAGTTTAACATAGCTTTTGATACTTTGACACATTTCAGTCACTATGAAAAATGTATTGATGTTTTATCCCGACAGACTTCCACAATAAGAGCATCACAGATTAAAATGCTGATCTAAGCTCAAACACAGCTGACCCAAGTCGTTTGTCGGCATGTTTTAAAACCAAGCTGTTTGTTCAAGAATCAAATTACATAATCCTCAAACCAATATCAGCAAATATGAATGAAAGGCTTAGACATAACAGAAGTGAACTCTCTTCCCTGGTGTTCAATTCTAGAAATAACATATCTGTCACAAACTGTTTAAATGTTGATACTAAGCAGAGTTAACTCAACCTGGGAGTGGAGTCGTTACCCAAATGACCTGTTTGCACTGTTTGCTTTGTGATAACTTGAAATGTGAGAGCAGAGATGCTGCAGCCAGTCCTCACTATCAGCCTCAATGAAAACCAGGAAATGCTGTGTTGAATGGGGCCCAACGACCAAACCGCGTTTTCTTCCAAGAGCAGCGATTGTTAGAAAGAGGAAACGAGAGTGTGCAATTCCAACAGCAAAAAGGCTCTTATTTCTCTTTCAAAGAGCGCAGCAGCAAGTGTAGGAGTACAGGATCACGGGCCAGATGTGTAACTCAGACTACAAACCAGCTCCGTTTCACGAGAATGTGAAGGTATTTGTAAAGATGCAAGTTGTGAATTCACAACTTTTCATTCATAACTAATTCCAGCTTTGACCTGTGCAGACAGGACATTTATTTGAGCTTTCATGAAACTTTTGTTCTTTAAAAAATTACTTTTACTGGTTTTAAGATTGTTTTCATTCTTTGCACAAAAACTGACAACAGCAAACTGCTGTCTTCCCAGAGCCTTCATTGTCTGAAACTGTCGAAGAAAACAAAAGGGAAAGTTTACTACCACCACCTTGCACTGAAACTAAACCTCACTTCCTGTGTCCTCTGAGTAACCGTCATTCATACCTCTGCGTAAACACCAGCACACAACAACTATCAAAACAATCACTTTAGTCCCTCAGAATGCTGTTTCCAGTGAATAGTAACCAACTTAACACATGGAACCATGCATCCTGCAAATACAGAGCTGTGTTTATACTAATATCATTGAAAACTGTTTCTTACCGTGTCCATTTTATCAGTGGGAGTGTGGACTCGAAACTGTCCATCTTTCAGTTCACTGTTGCTCATCTTCTCGTGGACAGGAGAAGTGATTTTCTTGACCAGAGGGGCAGTTCCAGGAATCGGCTCCTCGTCCTCAGAGTCCGGTAGTGGGGTCGGACTGATGTCCTCCAGGCCTGTGCTAGATGGACGGGAGTTTTGCTGCCCACCCTGAGAGCTGCCAGTGTAAGGGGGAATTGGGGAAAGCTGAGAGGACGAGGAGGAAATCGGACTTCCCTCCATTCGCACCTCAGTGTCCGAATCTCGTTCCTCCAGGAAAGGCAAAAGTTTTGTCCGTTTCTCTTTGAGGAGCATCTCAATGCGGGAGTCCAGGCTATTGCGCTCTGGATCCAGTGCAGGGGAGCCAGGGGAGGGGCAGCGTTCTGGCGTTTGAGGAGGAGGGGTGGTCGGTTGGGCTGCGGGCTCAGGTGGGGGCTCGGGAATCGGAGGGGTTTCTGGTCCCTCCTTGACAGGCAAAAAGTCAGTGGCAGCCGGTGGTGGCGGCGGCTGAGGTGGTCGGAGGTAATCACCCTCCCTCTGGGGTGGGTGATGGAAAGTAGGCTCTGATGGGGGGAACGCAGGGGGCAGCGGAGCCTGGTAGGGCGAGTACGTGGACTTGAAGTTGGGCGTAGCAGGGGGAGGGGCTGTGAAAGACGGGGTGGAGGGTGGAGGTTCAGGTGGGGTGAGTTGGTGCTGTTTGAACAGACCCTGTTCCGATGTCGTACCTCGATACATGTTGCTGCGGTACTGAGGCCTCTCTGGTCTCCGGTTGTACGCATCTTGGAACTTACTCTCGTGTCTCCGGGATTTGTATCCTCCGGAGCTCTCAGGTCGGCTGGACTGGTACGCAGGCGTGGACTGCCGACTAGAGTAATTAGAGTCTTGAGAAAAGGGCGTACTTGTCTGGCGGGGGGTAAGAGGGGTTCCCTGGGACTGGGGTGTGTCCTGCCTTAGGCTGGAGAAACCTGTATCCAGTGACAGAGGAGTGGAGGAGCTGCTGGGTGGTAAAGCTGCTCCCCCGGCTGACACGCTGCTCTCTGACAACCTTCGGATGGGCTCGCAGGCCTTGGAAGAGAAGAACAGGATCAGGACAACAAGTCACAGGTGGGACAAACCTCCACCAATGTCTCTCGGTTGCACCTTAGAACCTATTGTAAAGCTGTATAAGTTCATTTATGGAAAATAATGGGACAATTTCCCTCAAATTACCAATAGCTGCATTTCACAGAATACACCTGCAGCAGTCATGTCAAAGGCCAAACTGGTGGATAAGAGTATCTAGGCACAATGCCTGGGTGATCTCATGTTACAAGGTCAAAGTACATATTTCAGTGGCTTTGTGATTTCAGTCTGAAGGCAGGGGTCTGGACAACATTTCCTCTGCTGTACTCCACCACCTGCTGCTCCAGTAAAATGGATTACAGATAAGTATGGCAGCTTAGATTAGTAAATTGGTTCATTTCTACAGGGTAACAACAATGAAATAATCATATCTTCTCAACTGAGACTGTGCTAAAATACATTAATATCCAACTACCATTGTCACATTTTAAGTAGTGGTGTATAATAAACAATGAATACAAACATGCAAGGTATTAAGAGGTTGTGTTTTTTACCAGTAAGACCTCAGCCAGGCTACGAGGGGAAACGTCTCTGGCGTCCTCTCCACCAACAGGCAGGGTCATTGGATTGTAGCTGCCATTCATCAGGAGCTGGAAGTACCTGAGGCGATTTTCACCTGTAAAACAATAAACATGAGTGGATCGGATGCCAGGTTGATAGAGCAGGAATAAAGCCAGTGAATGTTGAATAAAGCTTATCAGACAGGATAATTATGACAGCAAATTCTAACACATTTGTAAAAGAGCAGTGTGCATAAACAACTGTTTCCTGTCTGATTATTTTGCAAACAGTGATTATGCTGGTGTGTCATACAATAAATATGGTTTATATAAATATGGCAATCTGAAAGATTACCTGCAATGAATCAATGTTAATTTATTGACATACAATAACACCAAAACTTTGATATTTTATACATTACACACACACACACACACACACACACACAGTATCTACACTCATTATAAAGACAAAGAGGTTCATGATAATAAGTAATTTTGCAAGAATAAATTAAGAAAAACATTTATGTTGGTAAGATAATGGTGCACACACTAATTAAAAATATCAGTCATTATTATTTCTCATATTAAATAAGCAGAGGTGCAAATGTGCCACCAGGGAAACAATAAATACACAACACTGTCTTGAGAGGAGTTAAAGTTCCTGTTTTTGCCAGTTAATCAAAAAAAAACAAGAAAAAGAAAGAAAAATGAATTTCTATTATAAGTGAGTGAACAGACACGTGGGTAGAGGGGGGGGCTGTGACTGATTGGTTTGTGTTTGTTTACAGGTCTGAAATTAGGCACAGTGGGACTACACTGCACCCTCAGCTCTGGGCTCCTGGGATCAGCCTTACTATTCAATTGCATTCAATTTTCCCACGTTACCAGGCAACGCACGTATACATTTAGTAACGTGACCGATGTCGCTCCTCATAATCCACACGAACACAACACTCCACCGTCAGCACAGAGGAGGAGACACGAGGCTTGATCGCGCATAACAAATATAGTCCACGCGTCTTCTCCTCCCTTGAAAGAGTGAATCACTGTTTACCTTTCGGATCCAGCTCCACGTGGATGATGTTTCCCATAACAGACGTGTTGTGGAGCGACTGCACCGCCACCTTCGCGGCTTTCACGGTCTCAAAAACCACTTTGGCAATTCCCAGGTGCTTCTTGTTCTTCGGATTGTACAGGATCTCCACCTCCTCGATGTCCCCGAACTTCTTGCACATGTCCATGAGAAATCCTTCCCTGATGTTGTCGTTGAGCCGGGCGAATGTCACCTCCTTGGGAGGCACGGGGCCGATGTAGCACTCATCGATCTGGAAGAAGAATGGAGGGGAGGTCGGGTTAATGTCGTTAAGTGGCTTCGGGGGTTAATGTTGCACCCGGTGGGGTCTTCCCTGACAGCTGAGATAAGGACACGCCACAGTGGTTACAAAGAACATGCGAATGCACACACTCTCGTTCAAACAACTAAAAGATGGAGCGTGCGTGTGATTTATTTTGGTTTTCTGACAATCATACTTTCACTGGACGTCCCACAGATGAGTGAGGGGGGTGTGTCTGCAACTTCTGACAGCACCACAGGGAAAGACCCCTGTCAGCATAGCTCCTGTCAGAGTATGTACCTTAAACTTAGGCACCGGTAGATCCGTCTCTTTGTACTTAGTCCAGAGGCGACCGATCCTCGGGTCCCGGACAATGTCCACCGGGGACATCCCGGGGTTCTGCAGGAGAAGATGGGGGGAGAGGAGGGGGGGTGGTTACAATGATGTTATCCATCCCATTCACAACTTCACACTCCACTAACTTGTTGCAAAGTAGTCGACGGGTCGTGTGTTTAAAACCCAGCAGACGTGCTGGATGTTTTTGAGGGGATGCTGGAGCGTGTCCGCGGCAGCAGCGGCGACACGGCCACATTGTGACCAGTCATGGAGGTCTGCTCCTCGGTTACTATTGTGGCCGGGTCCCCCCCCCCCACACACACACACACACTGGCGGTCCACTTACGGGCATGTTGAAAGTGTGTCCATCGTAGCGGTACAGCTTGTGCGAGCCCTTCTTCAGCGCCGGGTCGATGATCAACTTGTAACTTCTCCAGTGGTGACTCCGCTTCTCCGCCGAGCCGCAGACGGGGTGACTGTCCATGCCGTTCGCCAGACCTGAAACGACGGGAGAGAGGAGAGAGGAGAGCCGCCGTTAGTGCAACCCGCTAAACACGGCTGCTGCTGCTGCTGCGAGCCCGTGTGCCTCCACCACCACCACCCCCCCACCGCGGACACTTTAAAACACACGCTACAGATGCATGGCTCCGGTGGTTCCGGGGGGGGGGAAACGGGACCTAGCTTACCCCACTGAAAACAGGCATGAGGAGGAGAAGCTGGAGAAAGAGGAGAGGGAGAAAAAAAGAACAAGCTTACTTGAACTCTGCTTTCTGCCATGGTCTTCGCTCAACCTGTTTCTCTCCCCGGGCTTGGACATGGTTCGTCCGATCGACTGGAGGAGGGGGGGTGGTTCTCGAACTGATGAAAAGACACAAATCGCTCTCCTTTCGCCGCTTACATTACATGATTTCGCCGGAAGAATACTGCCTCCTTTTCGGCGAGAGCCAGCACATATTGTGTGCCTCTCTGGTCCGTGGCTGCTCCTGTCTCTCCCACAATACACCGCCAGGCTTGCTTGCCCACCACCCTCGACGCTGGCCGCACTTTCGGCGCAAACTTACTTCTCCCTCCGCTTGTCAGTTATTATCATTTTTCTTTACCGCAGTTTTTTTTTAAAGCGCCGATCTTTCAAGCGACTCGTTAAAAAACGAAGAATGCGAATATAAAATGAAACCACGGGGGCGGCAGCAAGCATGCGTCGCTAAACCCTCTCAATCATTTTTTTTTTGTGTGTGTGTCGAATCTGCCGACTGCTTTCAACCCAGATGGCAAACCCAAGCGAGATATACACAGGGGTCAATATGTAGTGAACCGCCGCTGGAGGCGAATAAAACACACGCTTAGCTGCGGAGGAAACGAACAAAGGAGCTAACGTGGAGCTAACTGCTAGATGTTTGTTGGTTTATTTATTTCAAATACGAACGCTAAGTTGAATGAAGTAATGCGGAAGAACCGTAGGAATGCGGCGGGTTGTTACATCCTTCCCTGTCTGCCTCTAATCCACTCAGGAAAGACAAACTAGTGCCAACCCGGATATGTAGTTCCTCGTGTTTTTGTGACGCTTCTTTAAACCCGTGCGATCGCAGCGTGGCTTTTTAGATGTCTCGTGTGTTTTTATTGAAAATTACCGGGACTCGTGTATTTTTTTTAGGTTAAACCGGGTTTTGTTTGACGTCGCCTGCTGTTTTTGCGGTGCTCGGGCAATTGGCTGGTTAACAGCGGCGGCGCGGCGGACCAATCAGAGCGCGGCAGCAGAGGAGCCGTCCACTATTAGAGGCGAGGATCAGGAGTCCTTCAACGCAGAGCAGAGAGAGGGGGCATCGGCAGCCATTTTCCTAACAAAAACACACAGGACTCAGTGGCCTATATGGGTTTCCTTTGTTCCAAAGAGGGATCTTACACTCGATTTCCTCATCTCTCACGGACTATGATTAAAAACTATCCTTGAGAAGGATTGAGAAGAAGGAAGAGAATGTGCCGGATGTGACATTTTGAGCCTTTTTTCCTCTGCCTGGAATCCACCTTTGTCTTAACTAGGCCATGGCACACCCAATATAATAGTGTTTATATTTCTTTTAAGTGAAAAAAGAAAAGAGAAACCAAAATTGTTGTGAATAAACAGCTTTATGGTTTTGGAGAGAGAAGGAGGAGGAGGAAAGAAAAAACACAGTTTAAGTGACAAAACGTGTAATGGCTGGTTTGTTTGGCATTGCACTTTATGGCCTTTGTAGGATAGGAGTAGCAATGAGTAAGTTCAACTCTTTTATAATCATTTCACAGTGTTTTTGATCTTTCAGTAATGTAAAAAAAATGTGAGGCATGCAGTTATTGTTATTAAAATTATTTTTTATACTGTCAACTTATTCTCTGAGCTATCATCAATGTTACCACATAGAAACTGTGATCTTTATTCCAAATGTGTTCTCTGGCATGCTGACATATAGATACACAGCATCCAGGTTATATACAGTACCACTGCTCCTCTAGTGACAGAGAGCAGGCCACGCAAAACTAATGGCCCCTTTTATTTGGTAAAATAGTTTGTTGTGCTTCCTGCGATTTGGACTGTTGACTGACAATCCCTCTGCTTTGATTAATGACTTACTTTCCTCTCACAACAGCAACGCTTAACAACCCTGATGACTTGAGTTGTACCCTGCCCACAACCGTGGAGACAACTCCAGGCACGGTACATAGGGACCGTGCCGTCCATTTGGCTTTTACGCACCGAATGCGTAAAGTGTAAAACGACGGTTTGACCTTGCTCCAAGGGCACATTTAAAACACTACTAAAGCCCAGTGAGGTTGCCTTTTTTAAGAACTCACAACAGTCTATATAACGATTCAAAAAAAAAAACCAAAGAGGAAACAGATGGAGGGAAAACTCTCAGGGTGAAAATATTTACCTCAGCACTTTGGTGAAATGCAGTTAACAGGCCTAAACGCAAGGGCAGAGACGTTTTCAGCTCCATCTTCGGATCCTCTAATAATGGCTTTAATAAAGGGTGAGAGAGCGTCTCCTGTGAAAGGAAGCAATCCATTAGCACGACAGACAGAGAGCTCTTTTGAAAAAAACTTTTTTTTTTTCAATCAGTGGCATTTGCGTCTGCCAGCGAACATGCATCTCCAAGCATCATCTCGTGTGGGCAATATGCAAACTATCCCTCCTCTCTCCTTGAAGACAGGATTGCAGTCAAGTATAACCTCCTGCATGTCGACATTTCTAACTGAGCTGCATCGTGTTAAGAAAGAAAAAAAACTAAACAAGGAAAGGTTGTTTTTTTTTTTAGAGGTGATGGATTTTGAGCTGTTTCACTTAATTCTGCCAAGCTGGTATGTCTATACACGTAAGTATTCTCACAGAGGACAGACAACATGACAGATCATACACGTGGATTCAAACGTTATCGTGAAAAATATATTTGTAAAAAAAAAAAAGAACCAATATATTTTTATACATATTTTTGATTGATGTTGTAAACTTACAGTTAGTATTCAAAAAACATGTAATCCAAGTCTTAAACGAGCAAAAAAATGACTCTTATAGGGAGGAATCTTGCATATTTCACTGCTTCCCTTTGTCCGAAGACACCTTTTGGTGATGTGGCTACACTTGTTCAATGGTTTCTCTGCTGTTCTCTGTCTCAAAATGGCTTCTTTGCAGACAAAGGCGAGCACTGTGCTGTGAAATGCTGCTGCGCCATAACTGGGTGAGGCTCGCTCGTGTGTGTGTGTGAGTGAGTGTGTGCGTGCGTGGGGGGGAGACGCTCTTTCTCCGAGGACATTTTCTCTGTGACTCGACGTGGAAGTCTTTGCACCAAGCGACACACAGGGTGGTGGGGGTGGTTTGATTTCTCGAAAGGATGCATGTTTGAGATAATAAACAGATAAACGCGGCAGAGAGCGCGACATGAGGAAGGACGCGTCAACAAGCGCCTGTCAAAGTGCTTCTCGCTCGGCTGACGCGCCCTGGCAACGGCGGTAATCCGAGAGCTCTGGACGGTTGCCATGGTGTTGCAGAACCCCCACACTGCCATATAAGGTCACCGGGAACCCTCTCCCTCCTCCCCCTCCATGGTAACAGCAGCAGCAGCCCTTTAGATTCGTATCTGCGTGATAAACAACTATCGTGGCTGCGACGAGCCTCTGCGCCTGCTTCCCTCTCCCTCCTCTCTCTCTCTCTCCCTCTCTCTGGATCACCGTCATCGAGTGTTCCAAACGCCGCAGGCCGCAACAGGCAAACAAACGAAATGCGATTCTACTCTTTGTTTGCTGAAGGAGCCGAAAACAGAGGCAAAGGGGGACGCTTATGTTCGCGTGCGTAAAACAGGGGGCTTTCCACGTTGTGCAACAATGTGGTGCCTTTTACGCACGGTGCTGTGTGCGCAGTGCGTTTGAGGACATAAAAAATCGGAGCCGGTGTCAGAGGCCTGTTTGTCTTGATCTCCACTCACAGCTCCGGCTGCCAAGTGCGCGCATTCCTCCATTTGCAGGTCACGAGGCTGCTCCCCCACCCTCTCTCTCTCTCTTTAATCCCTCATTCCTCAAGTATGCCTGTATTTTTTTTAACTTCTTACCTCTTACACAATATGGATCAAATTGTGAAAGTTATGTTTGCGTTACAAAAGTGAATATTTAATACTAGTTGAGTCTTTTTCTCGCATCGAATTTGCTATTATGGTTATTTTTAGGCCCTGTTTTTTTTTTAAAAAAAAGGGAAAAACTCCTCCCCGGTGGGTTGCGCCATTCAATTTTGCCTGCTGCTGACAGACTGGAATATTCCACACAGAGGATTGGCCTCTCTCGTTCAGGACAGCTCTCTCTCTGCATGCATGGCGAATAACCATTTTTTTTGACAATAGTTCTTTGTTCATGAATTGACAATGGGTGATTTTACATGTTTGGATATTTTGCACAGGACAGTTTTATATCCTTTTTATAGCTATTCAGGTTGACAGTTTCACTTTATGAGTCAAACAAGCACTCTTCTCTTATTATTATTATACAGGGATTTTTTTATTGCATGTGCTACACAATACTTTATTGTAAAAGCATATGGGACACGGTGTGTGTATGTTTCTCTGGAATCTGACAGACAATGCACCTCCTCTCTGTCTTTCTTTGTATGAGCAGCCTTTTATTCTGACGGATTGTTCACTGAATCAAACCAGGTATCCTCTGCGCTTTATGTTTTTTGATAATTCATGGGCACACTTGCTTATTCAAGGATTTATCCATCCAGATTGCTGGTACTGTATTTGTTTTATTTACAACATCAGCCGTTCTTCTTTCTAGCTCTTACATATTTGCATGTTTGTGTACTGTTAGTGTAATATTCCACAGTATGGTTTGTGCTTTAGTGTGCTTGGCAATACTCTCACCTGTCTGTGATTTTGAGGTGTTTAAATAAATAGAATATACACCCATTTTATGGTTTGTTGTTGTGGAAACTGAAGCAGATTGTTTTGTTTTTTTTAAAAATCTTTTTGATGAATTAACACTGAAAACGTAAAGCTTTAAATGACATAAGGCCTGGATTTAACACAGTGTTTTCGCCTGTCATGGCATATTAAAAGCACACCACACTAAAACCCACAGACATGGCTGTATGAGATGTGCATGTGTTTTAAATACTTGGAAGACTAGTGTGTCTTCTTAAAATAGGCAAAGGGCAGTGTCAGCTTATCCTCTTAAAGGGACAGCTTGCTCAAAAGGGTTAGTCGCTCTTACACACCAACTAAATACATCCTTTCCCAGCAGTGACCATAGAAATGTAACCTTTGGATTTGACTTTGTAGCCTACGTCGGTTTGAATTCGCCTCAGCGACTAGACTCTAGACGATGAATCGAGATTAATCTCCAAAGCATTCTTGTGCATTCTGATTATGCACACTCATTCTTTATGATCTGCTCTCTTCTGACACCCTTGGTAGTCAACCCACATATTCCCAAATTTAAGATTAAAATGTAAATTCATTGCATACAATGATGTTCAGGAGTTCTCCGGCATCCAGGTAATTGGATAAGCAGAGATAACACAAAGGAAGGAATGAATAAACTCACACAGCATGTCCTGTTGTCTTTGATACTATCTAACCATTATAACATCCATCCCTAGTTATAGACTGAAGCTGTGTTCAAGGGAAATCTCATTTATTGTCTTAGAAGTCATTCTGCTCTAAAGTCTCCTTCAGCCTCCCATTAAAATAAAACATAGTGCAGAGGTATGTGAAGTAAAGTATCTCTGCATTATCTTCAACCTAATCACTTCATTTGGCTCAGTGCTGTTGGATAAGACGCCGAACGTCACACGCTGGGACGAGAGAGAGAGAGTAGCTCGTCCTGACGCCCAATCTGTGATGTCACCGTCGTGTTCAGCTGCAGAGTGAAAGGAGACGTACATTTTTGTTGTAACCACGAGGATTCAAACCAATTACATGAATGGATGCTACCATTATTTGTATACGACCTTATAACAACGCGGTCAGATGGTGTTTTCAGATGTATACATTTAACCAGTCAAAATTTGATTACATAGTATAATACACTGATATTAAATTGATTACATTTAACGGTGTTTTCCCATAAAGATTAAAACATGAATATTCAAAGGACCTGAGAGAAGTCATGCAGAAGGTTTAATACAGCTCATATTTTGTGCTTCATCTGAGAAGAAGAAGAGGGAATGGAATGTATTTGAGAGAAGTTCACAAAAGACACAAACTGTAGTACATAACATGTACTTGTACTCTAGTAAAAGGTACAAGACACTCATTCATCCCATCCACTGTCACCAGAGCATCTCCAGGCCTCACATGACTTCACAGTTAACCATCAGAACTTACATACTTGCCGTGAATGCCTCGACAATACACGCTCACTTATCTCCAGCACTGGAGGAACATTTTCAGCGTTATCTCACACGCACACTTCTGTGGACGGAGGCAGTACTTCACATCAAACACCCACCCATACAATGAAAAAGGAACATCCAATAGAGGAAGTAGGTGCAGCCACACTCAGATGCTGCTGCATTATTCATACACCAGAGATGCTGCTTCAGTGAGCAGCGCAGCGGTGGGACAGGGGAGAAGCGTGTAGTGGGGGGTCGACTGCAGACAGCCTCTATGTGACAGGAACAGGAAGTGGTGAGGAGGCCGAGCTGTACCTGTCAAACCATGAGCCTCGTCTGTTCCTCTCTCACGACACATGCATGGAAACCATCTCAGCCTTTCCAAATAAAAATTCACCATGTGTTTAACCTGAATCTGGAGGGAGCATCTTCAGCCCTGTCCTGACTGGCACCTGTGTGACTTCTGCTGGAGGTCGACATGACACAGAACAGTGCTGCGACTGGTAAAGGTACCGCAAAGGAGGGAGATGAACTTAAAATTGTGATTGTTGGAGATGGAGGCTGCGGGAAAACATCTCTTCTGCTGGTTTATGCTCGAGGAAATTTTCCAGAGGTAAGAGAGGCTGTGGCATACAGTGTTAATGTCCTTTTCAAGACTAGATCCACTTAAAAAATGTGACATATGAAAGAATAAGTTAATGCGTGGCTGTATCCTAAAACCAGCATATTCTTCTCGTCTCAAAAACAGAAATATGCTCCATCAGTATTTGAAAAATATGCCAGCACTATCTCTCTCGGAGGAAAAGAGATAAAGCTCAACCTGTATGACACAGCTGGTAAGAATCACCTCCGTGTTGAACATCCATTAAGACAGATTTAAGTCCCGCTACATTTAACATGATGTGAAGAGACAGTGTTTTGAGGATGTTGACCCATACACTGTCAACTGACTGGAGTATAATAGAAACACTGTGCAAATAAGGAGCACACACACTGACTCAGAGGTCAGTGCTGATGTTTACTGCAGGTGGGGGAGGAATTATTTTATGGTGTCTTGTCTTTTCAGATATTAAAGTTTAGGCGTCCCGACACTGTGAGTTGGGTCTTTATCTTGTTATACTGACACACAGAGACACAGAGGAAGTGGTAAAGGTTGACATTAACGTCAGAGCATCATCTTAATCATCTCTCGGGAAGTGAGACACTGTCGGTGACTACTAACAAGCTCTACTGATGACAAAATTTACAGAATGTATGTAAAACTAGTCAGACTGTCAGATGTTAAGGTGTCTGATTAAATGTGAATAAGAATTGTATTGATATTTGCCAGAGGTTAAATAAAATACATTCAGCACATAAGGGTTCAGAAAACAGTGCTGTTTTTTTTTTTATTATTAGTGGTTAAAAACCAGTTTCACAACCTCTCTGTCTCTTTGGGACATAAAACATGAATTTTCCATTAAAAACAAGTGTCATTACATGTCCAGGAAAACCCATGAGAGTGTGTCTTGACATCTTATCTTTAGTATGTGTGCAGCAGGGTGCTTTACATCAGTGGAAAAGGAAGCTGAGGCCAGGATGTGGTTTTATTCATCAACTTTGTAACACATGTTGCATCTTGAAATTCAGGCGGTTTCGTCCTGCACACATTTATTTCGTTCGCTAACACGTAGGTTTCACCTTCCCCTTTCTAGGACAGGAAGACTATGACCGACTGCGACCTCTCTCTTACCAAGAGGCCGATCTGATCCTGGTATGCTTCGACGTGACCAACCCCACCAGCTTTGAGAATGTCCTGATAAAGGTAATCACCTCTTCAGAGCATTAACGACACGCAGAGATCAACAGGGAGGCAAAGAGAAACGAGAATGTGACTGTTCAACAGGAGTTTCAGGTTTACTATTCAAATTCAGTTTGTAAATGATTGTTAGAGTCTGGTGTGTTTTTGCCAGCTGCATTCTTTGAGCTATGATTAACTCATGGAGGAATGGACGTTGACCTCATGTGTGCAGGACTGTTCTCAGTGCAGAGTGAGAAATGCTGTCAAAGAAAGTTAAATAGAGCAGACACACAGAATTACAGCTCAGCATGTGAGACGTTTAATTGTTTTTCTTGTAATGTCAGTGGTTCCCAGAGGTGAGGCATTTCTGTCAGGACACACCGGTCATCCTGATTGGCTGCAAGACCGACCTCAGGAAGGACAAGGAATGTGCAAGGAAGCTGAGGGCCATGAATCTGGCTCCTATCACATACACGCAGGTAAGATGAGAAGACGTGTGCAGGCGTTGATCTGTGGATACAGGCCTTTTGCCTGAGGTTACAGGATATAAACTGCAACATGCAAGATGATGCACCACAGCCAGAAGCTTCCACCACATTTAACTGTATTACAGCCAAATGAATGGAAATGCACATTTATCTTTATCGCCTTAATCTCACAATCTAATTTTTGGTTTTGGACTTAGGGTGAGGAGATCCAGCAGCAGATGAAAGCAGAACTGTACCTCGAGTGCTCGGCGAAGTATCAGGAGCACGTAGAGGACATTTTCAGAGAGGCGGCCAAAAAGGCTCTGGCCCACTGTAGGAAACAAAAGAAGTGTAAGAGGATGAAGAAATGTGTGGTTTTGTGAAGTTGAAGGGACGGAGCCTCGAGGACCCCACTCTGCAGACGAGGGCCCACAGGTGATGACAGCAAAAGATGGTTTTGTTCCTGCAAGTTTGGGCACCACTGAGTCACGGGTTCGTCTCTTTTTTATCAAAAGTGATGCAACAGGAAAGAGGATTTTGCAAGAAGTTGCAGGGTGGAGATACGCAAAAGTGTTACATAACTTGAAATGACTTTGGTCAATGTATTTTTTTTACTACTTTTGTAAGGATATTATATTTTAGTAGTATTTCAATCACAAAACATACGGTTTGTTTTATTGAGTGTATTTATTGTAGAAATTTGCAGTCAACTCTTTCCCCAGAGGATCATTTAAATGTCTGTGTAAAGTTTTGAAATATAATAAATTGTGGTTCTGTAGCTTTAAGTCTGGAGACGTAAAAAGGAGGCTTAGTTCATTTTCAGGGAAACTAAACATTGGGCTTGACTGTTTTGACTCCGTCCACTGAAGCTCTAATCTTTGCCAACAGTGCCCACCAGTGTTGAAAACCTGGAATGCATCAGAGTCGACTACAAATGCAGCATTCAAATAAATAAGTCACTTCAGTCAACAAGAAACAGAATTTGCTAAAAATTTTAATTACGTGTTTAATTTTAAATATTTCTTTACAAGAACGTACACAGAGAAATTGTCAACTGTCTCTCGTCACTGATCGTATTCAGGCACCAGTTACAGATTCAAGAAGATTGATGAAAACATTTGTTCAACATCGGCTACATCATAAAAACAAGGAATTCTTAACTGTGTGCATCCTGGCAGCTCATTTTAGTCTGTAACCTGACGTGCGTCAATTAATAAAAGTGATGTGCAAATTCTGTGACCCTCCTCAGCAGCACTACTGTATGAAGGAGAAAAAAGACAATATAGTGCAATTGTCTTTGGATTTTCAAAATAAAAAATAAAAAATCAGGAAATGTTTTGCTGTGACAGGCTGGAGGGACAATAAGGCAACAGAGACCTGACACCACCACAGCTGTTCATTTGAACCCACCCACCCCCTGGAAAAACAAGAAGACCCTCAAGTGCCATCTTTAAACAAACATGAAATGTGAACCAGACACCGTGACAGTGAAGGAGAGTAGAAGCCCTGGAACTGGCCATTCATTCATTCTTATAAATATTTAATTTAGTATGCGTACTTGAATAAAATAACTGAATCCAGCACATTATTAATCATCAGTGTGTATCGTAGTCTCACAGTACCAGTGCTAATAGCAGCATTTGATTATAACATTCTTTCTGCATTATTACAGAATGAAATGGGAACGGCAGCAGCACAGTAATGACAAATCCAAATACTGTGCAGGAACTTTGAATCTTTGTGACAAAATGTTTCCTCCACTCAAAAGCTTTTCCTATACAAGTACAAATTTAGACCATTAGTGAAGCATGATAAAAACCTAATTATATATTACAATTTGTTAGCATTATGCTAATGATATCATAAAGTGGAACTGTTAAAGAGGAGAACACATGAAAACCTTGTGAATGTGAGCCAGATAACCAAATTAAAGGATTAAATCACACACACCTATGTAAATGAGGCCTAAAGGGAAGAACAGTGCTCCATTCTAACATCACTAGAATTTGTTTTCATGAAGCTGAAGGTAACTATGGTTACCTGCTCGTGAAGTACCAGGTTTATGTTTTTTAAAGTTTGACCTAGTTGACTTAGAACAAAAGTCAAGTTGAAAAATAAAAAAGTAATAATGGTTAGCAGTGTAACAGCATGATGGGGAGTTGAGAAGTACTCATAAAAGAAATGAAGCGCAGTGCCAAATTGAACATGTCCGCATTTGTCTGAGCCAAAGACAGTTTGACAGTTGCTACTTCACAGAAGTATGAAGTATGTACATAACAGACGTTAGGTCCTTAAAAGGCAAATCACAGACGGGTGATAAATTAGAGGAAAAACCCGGAAAAAGGGAAATGAAACAGAACGATGCCCTGATCCAGAGAGAGCAATGGTTTGACGAGCATGAAAATGATGTGAATCACAAGCTGTGGCCTTCACAGATCTGACAGCTATCATGATGACCACTATCATCAAAACACCTAGAGGGAATACATATTTTTGATGAATGGGTTTTTAAACCGTAGTCACGTTCAGAAACTTGTAGAATCAGTGCCGAGGCACACTGAAGCTGTTCTGTTGGCTCATTTGCTTTTCCTTTAATTTGTCGCCCATCTGTATATTGATGCTACCTGCCCTCCTTCAGTTGCATATGATTTAAACAAAGACTCAGACAGATTCATACACTGACAACACTCAAATACAACACATTCTTTCCACTCACTTGTTATGTACAAGATAAAGCAACAAAACTGCTCATCCTTAAACAGGTGAACAACGCTTTGTGTTGAGACCGACTGAGCAGCGAGACAAACAACGAGTCATTAGAAAGCAAAAAGCCTGATCTCCAGATACTCCAGCGAGATGCCGGCGGCGGAATCAAAGCCTGAGAGACGCTGCTGTTTCCGCTTTGCCTTCTCCCGGCCCGATCGTACTGGGGTCAGTCTCACAAGCAATCTGTGCCTGTTGCTTCAAAGTTACTGGCCGTGTGGAAGAATTTGAGGTGTCTTGTTGAGTTTATGTCTCAGTCATTTTTTTGCACCTTCTCCTGGTTTTTCTGGATTTTCTGGTGGACAACTTTTACTGTAGTAAGAAAATTTCCCAGGAACAGGACGAGAAATGTCAATGCCAACATAAATACCTAAAAGGGAAAAAAAGAAAAGAGAGAATCTGTTTTATTTCAAGACATCAAGTGTGAACATGCAGTTTTACAACCGAGGCCATGTCTGTATTTCCAAATGTTGCTGGGCGAGGACATGTTGAAGCAGGTGGAGAGAATATTGGACACAAACTCACTTTAATAAAGTCAGTGTGTGTTCACTAATCAAATCTGATGTCCACACAGGGCCCCCAGTTTGTTTATACACCTTCTCCAGTCTTGATATTCAACCAATGGTTTCAAGTTTTATTTGTAATTTGGATGTGCCAATCCTTACCTGCCACTCTTTACAGTCTTCATGTCCTGCCAAGCGAAACAGGGTCACTGAGTTGTACAGCTGCCAAAACTGCAAAGGAACAGGAGACATCGTCTTTTATAATGTTTCTGCACACTATAGCTGCACAAGATAATAGTCCTTCCTCCTTATTTAATACAATCCAAAAAATACTTACTTTGTTGAACTACATGCTCTTCAAACATACTTTATGTGATTAATACAAATAAAAGGTGCAAAATATATTCTGCCCAGTCTTTTTGATTTAAAACTATTGGAATAGGACGATAAAACTGTGGTTTGATCTTAAACAAAAGAAAATAAATGAAAATTTTTGACTTACGTGGCCAAAAAAGAGGAATGGCAAAAGAAAAGTGAGGCCTCTCCACATCCAGGACTGGAATCCCTCTGCAGAGACACAAAACAATTGTAACAGTGACCTCGGCACAACAAGGCACAGATGATCCCTGTGCTCTCTCTGACATTAGAGCAGCAAACTCACTGAGGCCTCACTCAAGATCCTGCGACATCTTTTGTGCGGCAACAACTGTCTCCATCTCTCACCTTTACCCCATTTTCCGCCCCCATCCCCTTAGACATGGCTTTCCAGATGGCTCAAAAGTTCAAACGATTAAAATGACAACCACCCAAAATAGCTGCCAACTCACCCACTGTGAGGTCCAGCTGATTCCGCTCTCCCAGAGCTCGCAGCCGGTATAAGCAGCCGCTCTGGTAGTAATACTGGAGGAACTGAACAAAGCCTGGGGGACAAACGGAAAGATGATTGAATTTATGTCTCAGTTGCCATCAGTTAACACCAGTTACCTTCCCCCGTAAAAACAACAGTAAAAAAACGTAAGTAGAAGTTTTACACAATAATACTTTGATTATCTCAAAACAAAAGAAAACACAAAGAAAGGAGGCACTATCTGAGTTCAGGCTAAATTTGTCCTGTGACTAACTTAAATGAACTATTTAAAAAATTGTACTTAACCACTCAAACCATACCCGCACAGATGCATCACATTGATTGACACATTATGAGTCTACATGTGATACTGAGCAGTGACTGTAACCACTAGTGTGACATGACTTCCCTTCTCTATTCAGGTGAGACAGAAGACCTTGTTCAACAAAACAAGTCTCAGAACTTCTGCAATTAATCATTGTTTATCTGCAGAGTCATTGTATGATTCCTGCTACAGTCTAACCTTTTTTTTTTACCCCACTGGGTAATATAGAGCTTTGCATTCTAATAGAAAAAGTACAGATCTGTACAGCAGTTGAACATGTCTCAAATAAAGAAGACTCAAAGTTGTAGCTGCTCTTCAAAAGGATGAAAGCTTTACATCAACCTGCTGTCTCCAAACACCATCACTGGTCTGTACAAAACGAACATTACTCCGAGACAGCATAATAACATGAACACATCTTGTTCCAACAGTAGCAAACAGATTCAAAATTCTTACTCTGATATATAGAGAACGCAAGAAACTGGCTTCTGAACATCTGATACATGGGCCCCTCTGGCCTGTGAGAGGAGAAAAAATAAAAAGTTAAATTAACACCTACAGTTGTCTTTAGTCACTTACCTCTACATGTGTGACCTTCAGCTCATATACTCAAAACAATCCACCAATATTCTGGTATTAATCTGATTAAGATGATAGTCTGTCATCATGTCAACAGCATTCTCTGATTATCTTAACCTGAACAAGATCATACTCAGAATAGTCAATTGAATAAGTAGATTAATTAAGTGGAGTATTCTTATCTTAGTTGCATTATGAAGTCAATCACTATTAGAGTCTTCACAGCATTTTGCAACATCTACATACAGCAGTCACAAGCTGCTTGACCACACATGCCCTGGTTTCGAGAATCACCAAGTAGTAGGAGTTGATGGTTTAAAGATTGTCCATGCAACATGTTACCAGGAATAATTCAGGAGAAGGTCAATAGTCTGATTACTGTAGAAAATGTAAATATGGACACTGTGATGTGACGAAGACAAAAACTCACCAGGTCAGCATTACACCAGACAGAAAGGTGGACACATAATGGTGAGACACCCACCAACCTTTGATTCTGAGTGAGGGAAAAAAAAGACACAAATTCACATTAATACTGTAACTCAAGAATTCAGTGAGCACTTCTTCAAATTACAAAATGATATCAACGTAGAGCGATCGTCTGTTTTACTTTCAACTAAACAAACAGATAGAAATAGAAATTAAAAAAGAACGAGTGCTCTGGTGGGTTTACACGACAGTTTCCACTGACTGCACAGTGACTGGACTGATGCTGCAACTCACCTGGAGCCATTGCTCATGAGGATGCTTTCTCTTATGGTCAATGTGCAGTAGTACCACACCAGCAGAAAGTTGAAGATTTCATCAGTGACACTAGAGAAAACAGAGAAAATGAAATGGTGAGCAACTCTTAAATAGGGTTCGACATCAACAACGCTTGAGGGGAAGATAAACATCTCACCGACAGTTGAGGAAGAAGAGGCAGGTTATGGCTCCAAACATCAGGATTATTGTCATGTAAAGCTTGAACTTCTCGTACTCGTCTTTGTAGGCAAATCTATGCAAATGAACAGAAAACAAGTAGACGATGAGCGTCGCACAACAAACACACACAAATCCAGAGTCTTAACCTGTGTTTTCATGCCGTCCCAGACCAAACACTTCACATACTTTGCCTGGTTGCTGAGAAGTGTTACGTTCACATTGCCCAGGACCAAATTCAGGTACAGTCTAGACACAAAACAAGACAACAATATAAATAGAAATGTATCTGAGAACTAAAAGTGACTGAGATGAAATGGCGACATGAAGAATAACTGACCCGTTCCTCTTAGGCAAATATGCTTCCATATCAAAAAAGACATTTTCTTTATCTTTGATCTGTGTTTTGATGTCCGTGATCAACTTCAGATCTTTCTCGTCACACGTTTTCACACATCTGCAAAGATAAAGACACAAGAGGATGTTGAGTGGGAAAGAGGAAGAACATCTGATCCCTCCATATGATAAAAGTCAGTATGATAAAAGTCTAGTGATCTCTAAACAGCTCTTATCTAAACCTAAGTTTTTTTTTAACAGATTAGTAAAGTGAAGCAAAGCAACAGAGTTAAAACATTTACAGTATTTTGCACTATAGTCCAAATAAAAACAAATGCAACGCCACCAGAACAACTCCCAGAAATGAACATGAATGAAATCCTACAATTTGTAATGGTCAATAAATCAATAAAGATTTATTAGGTAATCTGGACAGTCACTAACATTAAGAAAAGCTCTTTGATGAGATATATTTTGAGAAGCGATTTAAAGGAGGTCACTGATTCTGCTGACCTGATTTGCTCAGGCAGCTCGTTCCAGAGTTTCAAGGCTCTGACTGCATCTTTCTCCATCCATCATATACCAGTGCATGGAATGAACCGTTTTCTTGGCCAGTGGTGAAGCCGGTTGCAACTTTCTTTCTGAAACTGTTAAAGTGACCTGCAGTAATTGAGCCTCTGTGAGTAAAAACTGTCTGAACGACTCAATCTGTAGGAGCCTGAAACCACCGCTGCTGCACAAACACCTGTTTATTCAAAGTTCAATGAAGCTGGACTCAGAAGCACAAACTGGAGAATCGGTTGCCGTTGCTGGGGACAGGCCCACATCATTTAGTTTGACAAGGCATACAGTAGAAAAAAAACATGCAGTGTTCTACAATACCGATTTTGGGAATACTTACTTGCTCAAGCTGTACCTTAAGTCCTTTAGGCATTTTCTCTGTTTACTGATGGCGTTGCTGCACGTTGTCTGTAGATTGGTGAGCTCCTCAAGTTTTTGTCTGTATATTTTGTGACTTTCCTGTGGATCAAACAAAAACACAAAGTGAAGAAAGGAAATCTGTAAGTTGAACATCTGCTGACTGAGAAATGGACAATAAGTCATATCAACCTGCATTTCCTCAAATTAATAGAAAAGCAGGGGCAAGTGTATCAAAACAAAATGATAGTTACAATCATATTTTACTACACACACTTTATAAAGACTCACTATAACGAGTGAAGTTTATCTTCTTTGCCAAGCTTCAAATATTTACATCAACACTGAAAAGCTATATGCCTGATTCTTATGTGGGAAAATATTTAAATGCCTGTTACATGCATTTGTGCCAGAAGATCAGACCAAAGGTTCCCAACTGTTTACCAAGAGCCCTTGCCTTCATAGTATCTCCAACACTTATAGGTGCCTCTGAACTCTTTAAACATCTGGATGTTATCTTGTAGAGCAGGACTGTCAAGAATCAAGAGACCAAAAAGGGCCATTGTTTGATAAATACTTCCACAATTAATGTTTTGTTTCAACATTAAAATGACACGAGTAGCCTAAATGAAAGATGTTTAATCTGCCGTGTCTTTTTGTATCTGTCTACTGTATCATTCTTGTCATCTACAGTAAAGATCTGGGTTTCAAGGGGGAATACTTTAAAAGTAAAACATGTTGGAAGAACAAACTGGATTTTGTTTTATTTCTAGATTTGAAATACTTGATTATGAACAGAATGAAACACTGGTTTGTTTAAGGCTATGGACCAGCTGAGCAATCACTCGACCGCTGTGACTTTGTGCCGTCTATGCTTTTAACTTTGTCACACTTTGGAAAGCAGAAGGAGATCCTGACCTTTGAGGAGGAGAGATCATTGTGTTTACAATAGAGGTAGATCACATGATGCCCCCCCCCCCTTAGCAGTAATGTCAACATGCACATGGTGAGATGAAGAGGGAGGCATCAGCCCAGAGGTTCACTAAAGGTCAATCAAACAAAAAGTTTGAAAACCAGAACCACACACAGAGTTTGGGGACTTTACTCCGACAACCTGCAAGTGTTAAGATGTAAAAATGAGGACTGTGAAAGAGAGACAGGTGGATTATGTGACTTCAGCTATTCACCAACACATCTGAGCTCCTCTGGAGAGAATCCCTGGAGAGCTTGACAGTCACCTCCATCATGTTTCCCAGCGGAGGAGCTCCACATCCTTTATTATTATGATACTGGTCCATGTCTCGGATGTGTGACGCTGCCATGAGGGGAGGACTTGTACTGTTATCAAGTTAGCCTGCTAGCTAACCTGAGCTAGCGTAGTGAGGCTGCATTCAGGGACTACAATCTCATTTAGTCAAGCAAAACCACACAACCAGCAGTTGCACTTCACGACCTGTAACTTGTGACTTCTGTGAGAGCAATCTACAGTCACCAGTCTCCACAGTGCTGCGGCGTGTGGCTAGCTAACTTACAGTAGCTGCTCATTAGCCTCATCTCACTCGAGCAGCAAGAACCGGCGACCTGCTGCTAACGCTAGCGGCTAAAACACCGGGATGCTCCAGTGATAAACGCGAAGTGAAATTTAAGATGTATCGAAGCTAACAACAGCAGCTTTAGCTCAGAGCTGAGAATGAATGGCGATCAGGGGGAAGCTCCAGCCAAAGTAACGTAGCCCCTCTGCGAACAGTTAGCATCGTCCTCGGCTACTGGATCTACCGGGGACGGTGTTGTTCCCCCTCGTAGCGTTTCTCCATCACCTGTAGTTGCTGGTGCTCCTCGTCGATTTCCTCCCACTCCGTCTGGAACTTGGGTTTGGACATGGCGCTGCAGCCGCTGAGGTGGCGGGGAGGACGGGATGCTTGTCTCCGGCTCGCTCGGGCAGACGCTGCTCTTAATGGGAGCACGGAGCATGCGCACATCGCATCCATTTAAACAAATAAATAAAACATATAAAAATAAACCGCGCGTCAACTCAACCTGCTGGACGCGTTGAGATGTGATTTTTAAAATGACTCTTGATACAATTGATTTGTTTTATTTCATTTACACTGCGCCAGCCGCTACGCATCTGTGTTGCTAGGATACAACAAACGCTAAGTGTAATGCTAAATCTACGCTGCTAGCTTACCGACGGTGTTTGTTGGTTTGTTGGTCCGAAGCTGCACGGACTGAGTTCGCGACTCGAAGAAAGTAAACTCGAACACAACACTAAGGTACAAGTTCTTTATTTTTGAGTGAGTGTTCCATTCGCTAAATTCACCTGGGTTTGAAGTTAGCGGTGTTGTTTGTAAGTCAGGTGAATAGCAAGTGCGAGCTAGCCAGCTTCAAACAAATTATGCTAAATGTGAGTTCACGTGCATTTGTTTGCACCACATTGAACATTGAATCAGCCCTGTCTTTCATAAAGATCAATACATGCAATAGATATAAGATCAGTAAAGATTGCACATGAAGTTGTGCTGTAATGTTTTTTGCATTTTGATGTTTAATATTTCAAGTGTTTTTAGTGCAAGTGCAATATTTAACTTTTACTCTGCACTATTTTTCTGTGTATGTCCTTGTGTACTGTGTTTTGTTATTTGTTTCTCAATGTACTTCTGCAGCTGCTGTAGCACTCTGGCCCTCAAAAGTATATTTGATATTAGAATTGATTAATGTTGTTCTCTTTTTATGTCTTTTAAGTTTTTATGCTACATGGATAAGGTGTCTTATGTTGTTTTTAAATGTGACCTGAACACTTATTGCTGTAATGTGTATGATGGAAGTGACAAAAAGAGCTATTAGTTATCATGTGTTCAGCTGATGGTAAACTGAACTGGGCAATGTAAAGGTTAAACTACAGCTTCATGGCTCTAACAGGCTTTTTATGTTGTAGGTTTTTCTTCAAGGTGCCTCCAGCCATGCCGTTTGTCAAAACAGCTCAAAAAACACTGTCACTCTCAAAACTGTTGGATGTGAAGTCACAGAAATGTGGCCTGCGGCACACAGTTTTCTCGGCCAATGGAAATGAATACACTGGGGAGTGGCAGGACAACAAGAAGCACGGTAAGATACTGTGTCGTGTCCGTGGATGTCGGGTTGTGGTTCATTATACAGGTTGATTACCCTACAATTAAAATGTGTATGCATATTGATCTTTTCAAGGAACGGGAGTTCAAGTTTGGAAGAAGTCTGGTGCTATTTATACTGGGGAGTGGAGAATGGGAAAACGGGATGGTTATGGCCATTATAGTGTACTGCAGCCAGAAACAAAGAAGTATGAAAAGAAGTACATTGGAGGGTGGAAAAATGGAAAGAAGCATGTGCGTATCTGATATACAGCCATATATGCACATGATAACTAAGTGTAATTACACCCTGTGATATCCTTCGCGTCACTTTCTGTCCCTCAGGGGTATGGGACATACTTCTTCAGTAAGTCAGCTGTTTATGACGGGGAGTGGAGTGACGACCATCGGAGTGGCTGGGGGAGAATGTATTATGAGAATGGAGATTTCTACGAGGGAGAATGGATGGGGGATAAGAGCCATGGACAGGGCATTATTCGATTTGGTAAGAGCAATGTGCTTTACATACATTTCTATCTAAAACAGGTTATAATTCAGTCAGTTAACATGGTGATTTTGAAATCTTGAATTTGCAATTTGTGTCCAAGCAAATGGAAACTGGTATGAAGGCACGTGGCAAGATGGCAAGAAGAACGGCAATGGAAAGTTCAACTATTCTGATAAAGGCCAAGTTTATGAAGGCGTTTGGGTGGATGGCGTAGCAAAATGTGGGACCCTGTCGGATTTTGAGAGGGATGTAGCACCCACACAGAGAAAGTATCAAATTCCACAGGTACGATATTCTGACTGTGGCTGATTTTACAAAACCACTTAATATCACTGACAAGACACAAAGAAACGTGTATCTAGTGCAATGTTGTATAAAAACATGAACGTACAGTATCTTCTTTTGCAGATCCACCTGGTGGATATGGAGTTGGTGTTAAGGGAAGCCCAGTCAACCTACCTTGATCACTACTGATGAACAAGAAGATCAAGAGCAGGTTTCCACCTCATCACACAAATGGCATTATGGTGTTGTCCATATTCAGGATATAAAGGATAAGTAGAGGGCTCTAGCTTTACAAAATGAAGCAAAGAGGAGAGTGTAATACCAATACTTATTCCACACAACTCAAAGTGTGATTCTGCAACAGGACTGTGCAGTTGGTCATAAAGCAAAAGGATAAACATCTGTGCTAACTATTATGCAATAAATGTACTTATAAACTTAAAAGGTTTGAGATGTGACTTGCTTAACCTGTGTCAATGATATATAAATTCAGAGTGATAATAAATCCGAATTATTTTCTAAACTGGGAAACCTTGAATGCCACTTAGTAAAAAAGTGTTTATTATAGCGGCACAGCCTGTGCTTCAACATGTCAGCAAGCATACTCGTACCATACTCAAGTTTTAGCAGCTGTTGATTCATTCTATGCAAAAAACATGGTGTTACAAATACAAGAAGTGAGCATTACAATAAATCGAGTGCAGGGTGAATACTGAGGAAACAGTTAAAATACCTGTGGTTCACTAAACACAGCAAAGTAATATATATATAATAATCAATACAGTCTTCACTGACAAACAGATAAATAAATGCAGCAGGCAACAGACAGGATTCCTAGTTATTGTTCAGATTGTCTCTGCCATAATTTAAGAGATAAATCAAGCAACTATCACAGTTAAGACTTTACAATCTCAAGTAACATGCGTATTGGCAGATTGGTGAGTTCACAGTTGATCAAATAAGTCTTTTAGAAATACAACTATTTTCACAAAAGTAAATTTCACAACAAAGACGTGTGATATATATATCGTCATTCCTGTAAAAAAAAAAATGAGGACAAAATCTAAAACTGAGGCTTCTGGCTTGGAGATATTCTCGGAGTTCCACCACAGATTTGTATCCACCATGCTTGCCTATGGGAAATGTGAGCTTGGAGACTGCAAGATGGAAGAGTCCCCTCTGTTGTCTAGCTCGTTCTGAAGCCTGGTGAGGTTCGATAGCTCCTCCAGCTCCTGAAACTGTCTGTCAGTCTTGTGGCTGACCAAGGAGCGGTAGAAGTGCACAGCAAAGACTATGAAGACCAAACCGAAGGGGACCATGATGGAGGTGGAGGTGATCGCAGCAGCCACGCCAGACGAGACCGTATTATTGCTGGACTTGTTGGGCTTGATGGGCAGAAATTTGACCCAGCAGAGGAGAACCACCTCAGCCAGGAAGAGCAAAGTACCGATGACAGTTGAGAAGGCCCACGCCAGCTCAATGTGTCGGTGCATTCGCTCGTGAGGAGACTCCTTCACTGAGTTGAGGTTGTGGACGTTGCTGACGGCCTCGATGTTGGGCAGGATGCAGGTGCTGACCATCAGAGCGAAGAGGTGGACAGCCACGAGGACAGTGGTGCAGGCACTGAAGGCAATGAGGAGGGCAGGGGGGTATGGGTAGCTGTTGTCCAGCTGCACTTCTACCATGGCCACCTGGAGAGGAGGAGAGCAGAGAACACAACTTTACAAACATGTTACTACTCTGTAACATCACGATTCATCCACAGAGGAGTGGAAGGGGTGAAGTCTGGGGACAGCGTTACCATAGCAAATCCAGAAAGCAGAGCTGATGTCCGGCTGGAAGCCTTGAGTTTAGCCCGACTGAGGTACAGCTTCCTCCAGGACAGAGCCTGCAGCGAGTGCTCGTTCAGGCTCATGTCGCGTGTTTGTGTCCGGGGACTGGAGGAGCAGCGCCGGCGTAGTGACCTTCTTCTTACTCCTGGACGCGACTGAAACAAGCGATCAACATGTCAACGTGTTCGCCCACAAAACATTCACCCTCGCCTCGAGTTGCGGAAGCTGTTTCTGTCTTTCACCGCCGGTCTGCACAGCGTGTCTGCACCTTACATTACCCAGAAGCCAGTGCGCTCAGAGAACAACATCCGCTTCTGAGAGGCTAAATGGAGGCTAGTTCTTCGCTTAGCCTTTATATAAGAGTTAAACGTGATAACAATAAATACAAATACCATGCTTATTTATGACAACATGAACATTCTATTTCCTGATTAGACTTTAATCATTTTTTTTCTGACCTGTTCATTTATTTCTTTGTTTTTCTTCTCTTTTGTGTTTATGTTTTATATATTTATGTCTGTATATGTTTATGTCTGTATATGTGTGTTATATCTTTATGTCTGTATCTCTATGCTCAGTCTGGTTTTCTAGACTTCTCTTGTGTTGGCAAATTTAAATTTATATCAGCCAGCCTTATTATACATAAAGTAGAGAAAAAGTGGATTTTATTCGCCATTTTACAAAAATAAAAACAGCTTGTAACCAATTCATAAAATGTTTATATAATATTCTTTTAATTACAATACTTAACAGTATTTATATATTTTTTTAAGGCTTATATATAATTGCATCTAAATAATCTAGCTACCCCTATAGTGTTAAATGTTTAATTTTCTTTTTTCTTCCATTTTTGCACTCTGGTGGTACTTTAATCTCAGTGGTGAGTAATTAAGAATTAAAAAAAAACTTCTTACCTTTGCATTAATACTGGTCTAATACACCTTCAATGTACAGAAATAAAAAAACAAATACAAATAAAGTGAAAGCAGTATTGCAGCAGAACGTAAAAAATGATATGCATTTTTGGAATATGGTTATAATCGCTTATTTTTTCTATTTGACTGACCTAGCTGTTTGTCATTGTATGTTTGTGCACATATGATCGGTGTTGTGTCATGTGTGCTGGCTGACATGCCGTGACGTCGTCCAACAATGTTTTGGTTCCTGGCGGTGACGTCACACACAAAAACATGGTTCCCCTTGTTTTGAACTCGAGCAGCGTGCTAAGTGCTGCCGTGACTCCGCCGCGCAGGGAGATGCTCCTCCGACACTGAGCCACCGGGGAAACGTAGCCGACGAGAGAGGATGGCGGACCCCGCGGAGACGTGCCCTGAATCCGGACGCAGGCTGGTGCGTAGCTCCCCCATCCGCCGTGTTGTCGTTAGCTCATGAGTCGAGCTAATTACTTAGCTAAGCTAACGTCTGCAACTACAGGCGCAGGTGGTGTTCGTCAGGGCTGCAGGGGACTGAGCTACATCCGCTGGTTTAGGGTTTACAACTTCTTTAATATCTGTCATAGTTCAACGAGTCAGCATACGTGAGGGAAAACGTGCAAACATTCATCACTGTGGGACCTCACACTAAAAATACCTGCTGCCTTTCATTAGGACAAGTGTCGTTTCATGATTATTGCACTTGACGTCACATTCAAGGAAACATCATGTCACCAAAATATGCACAGTCAACAAAACCTGAATATGAGCCCTCAGTTAATCCCGTGTTAAAGTTTGTGAAGAGATGAAGGTCCAGTTTCTTGTGATGGTGTGTTTACACACAGATGCAGGGGCCTTTGTGAGTTTAGTATTGTGTCTTGTGTCATGTTTGGATTGCAGCGCTCCATCTGCAGGAGGATGTATGATGAGAACGAGGACCTGTCTGATGTGGAGGAAATCACAAACATCCGAGGTTTCAGCGTTGAGGAAAAGCTGGTCAGTGACAGATACAGTGCAAACTTCGTCCACTTGATGGAGGGAAAAGGTAAATAGCAAATTACACAACATCTCTATTAGATATGACATGTTCCTCATTATTATTATCATGCATTTTGCAATAAAGAAACACATCAGTTCCTTTTGCTTTGCAACATGCATGTTATTTTATGTTCTTTTCTGTATTAATTACCTCAATGCATTTCGATCACTTAAATCATTCAGTTTTTATCTACATTCTTACAATCAGTTTTCACAGCTGTTATCCTGTTCACTGTTCTTTTACAGTCATATACACTACTCTTACTTTATCATTTGAGTTCGCTGCACTGAGTTTTAACTGTCCATGGATATTACACTGTCATCCTTGTTCTCTCTCTTGTTTTTACTTGTTGTCTTGACATGCTCTATGTTCCTTAGAATTACCTAATCTCAAGAATATTCCCTCAGGGGACGAGTGAAGTTGTTTTGAATTGAATTTGAACTGAATTTCTATCATTTCCTTGGACTAAAACATTCATGTATTGTGTTGCAGACTTCACCTATGAATATGTACAAAGGGAGGCTCTCAGAATCCCTCTCATCTTCGAAGAGAAAAATGGACTAGGCATCAGGTTAGAAGCAACTTCTGTCAATTGAGTTCTTTAGAATATCTTTTACTTACCTTTTTCTATATTAATGTGTTTTTTTGTCTGTAACAAATTACTGAATGTCATCTTTCCCTCTCTTTGATTCACACATATAGAATGCCCGATCCAGAATTTACAGTCAGTGAAATTAAAGGTCTAGTTGGTAAGTTGAATGCTACAAACAACACGCACAGTAAACCTCATGCATTCATATTTTACTGATGTAGCAACCAATACAAATGCTGTCCTGTGTTTAGGATAGAGAGTTCAAAAACTTGTGCATGCTAATAGAAGAAAGTTTCAAGATTAAAAAAATGCTTTTGTGAAATTTTGTGAAATATAGAAAATAGCTTAAGAAAATGAATTATCCAAACTTATGCTTTGCTGCAAGTATTAAGGCAAATTTACATAATTCACAAGTAAGTAAAATACCTTTGTCATGTTTTGCATTAATTACTTAAATGACATATCATGTAACACTGGTAATACTGTTTGTAGTTTATCGTTTAATCAATTTTATGCTGTGTTAGTGAACTCACACACATACACACATGCCTGTCTTTCTGCTAACTGTCTGCCTACAATTAAAGAAGGTGTGTCTGTGTGTCTTTGTCCACTTTCTTATACTATGGACATGTTGTCCTTTAATACTATATCTGTTTTTCTATCTGCTATCTTGCACTTTTTCGAAAAAAACGTCCAACAGCAATTATTTTCTAATGCATTAAAAAACAACTTCACTAAAGTGAAATATGAAAGAAAAAGAAAAAGCACGGCTGTTGTGTAGTTTTGCCATCTAGTGGAAGAGATAATGAAGTACATGTACAGATGAGATAGTTGACAATGATGTCATCAATGCAAAAATGTTTCCATGTATACATCTAAATTAGCGTGTTATTCTTTTTATTCAAACCTGCAGCCAGATTGTCAATGACAGCTGAAGCACTGGTCTGTGGCTTTCACCTGATGTCCTGGTTGTGTCTTGCAGGCAGTCGTCGGTCTGTGGATGTTATGGATGTGAGCACCCAGAAAGGCTCTGAAATGACCATGGCTCA